CACTGTCGTGCATTAGCGGGTAGTAGTTACGTGTAACAGGAAGTGTAGGGCGTTTGCATGCTAGTAGAATTTACTAGACACTAACTGAAAGTACCATGTTAGCTGATAGCTCAGTTGTCATGAGTGAATGCTGAGCGAAGTTTGGAAATTGTAATGTACTGCATTGATCCACATAACCTTGTCCTCTAGAGGATAAATCCTGGAAGAAGAAAAAAGCGTATCCGCTCCAGTTAGTCAAAGCAACCGTAGCAGATCTTGGTAAAATAATTTGACGTTCCAGATTTGTTAGTACAGAATCCGTAGTTCTCATTCCGCAATTACATCCTAGCATTTTCTCTAGACACAAACTATTAATAACTGATATTTATCCGTATAGCTGACTACACAGTCAGTGTACAGGGAATACATTGCAACCGAACAGCTGACAATTGGAAATCGGTGCCGGATTATCCTTTGCTAGCGCATTTGTTGCTTGCGTAAAGATAATAGATATGTGCAGTTTTTTCGGCGACTTGCGGAGGAGAAAACCGGCGAGAACGAATAGAAAGAGTGAAGATGACGGATGTATTCGATGGCGCTCTTAATCGATAAATAGAGTAAATCTAATTCGAATCTAGTTGCTGGCATTGATGGTTTTACAGCTCAACACGATCATCAAAAAGAGCGCGGTTATAAATAGAGCGCTCATAGAATATACTACAGTAATACCCTATTTAACCCCGGAGGGCGTTCAATAACAATTGAGGGCCATGTAGTATTCGGTATTATACGTTTGTACTAAATAACTAGTAGTTGTTGTACACGAGCACAGGACTGCAGAGCAATAACAAAATTTTATTCACTCAAAAGATATCGTATCTGCGAATATGCATGTACCTACCATGGATACCTACAGATTATACTCCAAAAAGAGCCAATTTTCTAAACATTTTACTGTTCGCGACGTGAGTCGTACTCGGCCTGAATCTCCTCAGCCGACTTGCCCGACGTCTCCGGAACCAGCTTCAACGCCAACAGGTAGAAGATCGCAAGAAGCACCACGAACGGAACATACGCGTAGTCGTCCAGGGCATCCGACACGTACGGGTACGACACACCCACGATGAGGTTGCACAGCCAGTTGATACCAATGCAAAGCGACGAAGCGCTGGCACGGATCGAGTCCGGGAAAATGTCGGCAGTCATCACCCACAC